AGAATCTTTAGAGGACAGACAGGGTTTTGGTTTATTGTTTCATTCACAAAGCAGCTCCTCTGACTGAACTGCACTCCCTCAGTACTGCACTGGAGTATTGGAGGGCAAAACTGGGAGCCTTCCAATATTCTGACATCACTGACACCACAGCCGATCTGCTGATGTGAGGACACAGACAACAATTGACAAAGACAGGATTAAGGTTATTTTCATTTGTACAATGCCACAGCTGCCTGGTCATGATCCTAGAGAGACAACCCTCCAGAGAGTGCAGCAACTGTAGCCCAGTGGTCATTGTAGATTTTTTTTTGAGAAGGTGATGAATTTCCACTCCTGATCCATCATACTAATCCTCTGCCTTGAGCCCACACGTAGGACCAACTTAGGCTGCCTGCATCAACAAAGAGATATTCAGGCATCTTTTAAAATGGCTTGGGGTCAGGATTGTGATGGGAAACTGATAGTGGCCCAAAATTTACTGCATGTCTACCTCTGTTCTGCACCTTGACCAAAAGTCCAGCTTCACATACTATCATGCTGCATTCCCATTCCTTCACCAGCCATCCTTAGCCATCTCCTGAATGAGATTGCCCATTTTGTAGCAAATGTTATTACACTGTGGCTGCTTTTGACACATACATACGTTTTCTAGATTGAGACGATCCCAAATTCAAGCTGCGTGAGATCTTTGCAGTAGTGGGCTGAGAAAGATAGAGGAAGAGAGGAAATTTTCATCCCAACTGTTTGTGTTGGAGTCAATGCCCAGCACAGTAAAACAGGGATCAAGTGCAAACTCAGTAAAACATACATTCCACTTAAACAGTAAAGAATTTACATCTTCCACAAACAGTGCATCAATGACTCAACATCTCGTATACTTGGTGATTTTTTTCAAAATAAAAACTCACTCCTTATTTATATTCTTGAGATACAGCTCCATTCCTTTCCACCATATCAGCCTCATCATCAGGAAACTCAGAATATTTTTTGATGAACCTTATGTTACACACACAGTGTCCATTGTATACTAATTGAGGAGTGAATTTTATTTGATTATTGCTCTCTACTGAAAGTATTACCTGTTGCTACTGTAGGGCCTGCATATACAACTTTCCACTTAAAAAGGCAGATGTCCTATCAACTGAGCCATAAAAATCCTGATGCTGCATCAACTGATATTATTGTTGTCTGAGTGTCAACAAGCTATTCAACCATATGAGTGAGTTGTGTCTTATACCAGTCTCAACTAATGCACTTTCCCATAGGAGGTAATCATGTAGTGATCAGGAACAAAGACCCTGGGAATTTTTTTATATCCTTTCATGAGCAGGTTAACCATAGCATTGAATACCAACCAACCAGAACCAGCAAAAAATCTTCCTGTCCTATATCACCAGACAAAACACTTCCCATTCAATTAGATTCACTGCTAAGTTTACAAAAGAAAACTTCCAAGCAGGACTCAGGTATTGAAATAGTTTAGATAAAGCAAACTGGAATATAGCAAGACTGATGAACATTAGTTTCTTTACAATTTTAGTGATATGTCTAAATAAATAAATTATATTTTAATTACAAAAATGTTTAGAATTAAGCACACTCCTGCAATAGCTGCCATTAGTAATAACTTGTGATTGTTAAATATGTAGAGCATCTGATCTGATACACTCCTCAAGTTATCACTATTAACTCTATTGGACATCAAACAAACCTAAGGGATTGCGTCTAGCATTTGCACAAAAATTGATGCAAGACCTTGCAATCAGTGTGATTTTAATGTTTACAGGTCACAAATGCTAGAGCTCTTCCCTATTCTTACCCATACCCTAAAAACAATTACCAACCCTTTACCCACTAATTAATTCTCTCTCTCCTGACAGTCTCCATGACCTGACGAGAAAGAGAAAATTTGTTGTTCTATCAATCTGTTGAATCAGCTTCTTTCTGGGGAGCTTTCTGATCGAGTTGTAGCCAAGAAGTAATGATCAGTGGTGATTTCAGTCAGCCCCACAAGTCAAGCACTAGAACTAGCGCAATATTTACCATTATAGATTTCCAAATATTAAGAATTAGAAACAAACACATAAAATATTTCCATTTTCAATTCTAATCTAGGGTCTGATCAAACCTAATGTTTCTCTTTGCAAATGCTGACTGATCTTGCAGCATTTTCCATTCTTTTTCAATGTGGAGAATGTATCCTGAGGCTTCAATGTTAGTTGAGACAGTTCACTTATTAAGACAGGATCATTTAGTTGTGTACCTGTGATAGTTTAATCTTTTCTTCACTCAATGCCACTCACCCTCCTTCACTGATTTTTCTTGCTCTCTTTTACTCACTGCCTATTACCCTATACCTTTTGTTCTCGTTTTAGTTTGTTAGATTAAAAAGCAAAACCTCAAGGATAATAATGTCTGGATTATAAAACTATAAAACACAGGACCAAAAGCAAGCCATTATTACCTGAGCCATGAGCAAACTGGCATAGGGGTAATAAGATTAGGGAAATTAAGCATGGCTCAAAGTCCAGTGTGGGAAAAGCGAATTTTGGTTCATGAGGCACTTGCATTAGTACTAGGAAAAATGGGATCTGTACCATTAGGACAGTCTACACCTGAACCATACTGTGGCCAGTGTCCTAGTGAGCCTCATGACTAGGGATGTAGGGAGAACTTTAAACTAAATAGTGGGGGCAATGGATCAAATTTGGGAAAACATGGTCAGAGTAGAAATAAGATAAGAGAGAACGGTATTAAAATAGGAAATGATCAATATAATATGGCAAGAAGGAATAGAGAGTAGATTTCCAAGAATAAATCACAAAGGTTACAAAAATAATAAAAGAACAAAACTAAAGGCTCACTATCTGAATACTTTGGAACAAAACATGAATCGATAGCAAAAAATTGAAATAAATAAGTACAATCTGATAGTCATTACAGACACGTGGCTGCAGGATGATATAGATTGGGAAATGAAGAGGGAATGGGAGGGACAGAAAGTTTGGTTGAAATCACAGATTTTCAATTTGCTCAGAAATTGAGATCGAATTCTGGAACATAATTTTCTGGAGCCGCAGCAGAAATCCTGGACACTTAACAATGGATAATCAAGGGCCTTCGCTATAAAGGTACAGACTCTGCTCCACTATTATCCTTTCAAGCAGAAAACACACAATCTTGACTGCACAAGCACAACGATTAGTACATTTTGTTTGAAACAATGGACTGGACTATAGATGTTAAATGAGCAGAGTATTCTACTGAATTGTAGAAAGTTGTTTGCAAAGGAGAAAAGATGATGTTTCGGGTATGGACCCTTCTTCAGAAAAAAAGGGTCCAGACCCGAAATGTCAGCTTTCCTGCTCCTCTGATGCTGCTTGGCCTGCTGTGTTCATCCAGCTCTACACCTTGTCATCTCAGATTCTCATCCATCGGCAGTTCGTACTATCTCTTTACTAAAACTAGTTGTGTTACCCGATCCTGCATTGCCCTGTTTTACAACTTAGAGATTGGGTCATGCAGAGCTCCTTTTCCTGGCTTTGATTTTGTGAAGTTCTACGTCACTAACACCAGAGGGAAGTTCTTTTTCATTCATTCACAGAATGTGGGTGTCGCTGGCCAGGCCAGTATTTATTACCCATCCTTAATTAGACAGAAGGCAAATAGGAGTCAACCACATTGCTCTGGGTCTGGAGCCACATTTGGCCAGACCAGGTAAGGATGGCAGATTCCTCCTCTAAAGGACATTAGAGAACCAGACCAATTTTTCCACAATTGGCAATGGTTTTATGGTTATCATTAGCCTCTTAATTCCAGATATTTATTGAATTCAAATTCCACCATCTGCCATGGCAGGAATCAAACCTAAATCCCCAGAGATTACCAGGGTCTCTGGATTAATGGTCTAGTGATAGTACCACCAGGCCATCACCTCTTGTTACACTTGTCAATGAACAAGAAAAGGCATTTAAGCAGCACCAAAAATCTGAATTTGTGTAGCACCTTTCACATTGTAAAACATCCCAAGGCATCCCACTGCAGAGTAAACAAACAAAATTTTAAATCATGAAATCAGGTGATGACCCCTCACAAGAATGCATCATTGACTTTACCAGAAAACAACTTAATCGCCTGATAACAGATTCTGCTGAGGGCCTTGTACCCACTCCTCTGCACATCCTCAAAGTAAAACAAAAAATATCCTTGAATCATACAAGTTATGTTACATTTTGCTGTCTAAATGCTGTCGTGGATGTTCTATCCATAGCTCCAGGATTCAGCAAGTGTCATTCCACACACCATTTTATTCATGCTTGTTCTTATAAAGCACAATCTATTTCCTAACAAACTCTTTCTAACAGTGTTAGCGAAGACAGAATTAACTACTTTATGTGGGAGATGACAGAATCCATTGCTCTGGAGAAAAAAAGAATTTCTTCCAATTTGTAGGTTCGTATAATTGAAATCTGTCTTCAGGTTTCGTCCTCACAAAGTAAGTTAAGTAACAGTGGAGATCTCAGTTTATGATATCATTAAGGTAGAATTTCAGGATGTCATAGCAAGAAAGTACAATGATTGATTCCCGGATTGCCTCTGATAGACAGTACCAAAGCATAAGCAAGAGACTCACAAGTGTGCAGCTATTTCATTTCCAGCATTGAAAGTTAATGAATAACTTAAGTTAAAATATGCTTGCCCATTAACGATTATAGAAAAAAAATTCTAATATGAATGATAAATCCCACTATCCTCTGGGAGAACCAGCTCCCACAATCCAGTGGGCCATATGGCTATGTCAAACATGCCCTATTCTAAAGTGACTAAAGCCCTCATTTAACACAAGGCCACCACTGCTTGATTCTGATTTTGCAGCTTTAAAAATAGATTACTCAAAAGGCAATGCGTGGTTACAAGGCTAAACTCCCCACCCTCTTGGCATATTGTGGGATAAAGATGTTTTCTGCTCGTGTGGAATTCTGTTGCAATCATTTGCTCGATCAGCTGTCTGGTAAGAGCTGTGCTTCAATGTCTACTCGGCAGATCGGGCACTTTTTACTGGTGGCCAGCCATTGGTCAACACAGACTCGGTGAAAAAGGTGCATACAAGGGAGCCTCCTGAAGAAAACACAAAACAAACTGCTCAGTATGTTACCATCCATGATTTGTGATCTACACACCAAACATTCTCTTTATTGTTTGATTTAAAACTTTTAATTGTCTTCATGCAGTCCTTCATCTTCTGAAGTATACCGCCATATTTTGGCCAAACATGAAATCTTCATTGCAAAATCTGAATAGTATATTCTCAGCTTATTAACCCAATATTCTTCATAAGGACATTACATTATGGGAGCAAGACTAGGACATTAGGTACCTCTCAATAGAGTTGTTCAGAATTTGACAGGGTAAATAAAAAGAAACTGTTTCCATTGAAAGGATGTCCAGGATACAGCTTAAAGGAATTAGGAAAAGAATGAGTAGAAAGATGCACTGAATTTAAAACAGCAATTTGTTCCAATGTGGAATGCTGTACCTCTAAGAGTCATGGTAACAGATTTAGTAATCATTTACGGAAAGGGATTGATAGATCCTTGAGAATGGAAACATTTGTGTACCATGAGGAAAGAATTGGGGTGTGGGAGTAATCAGATAATGCATTCAAAGAGTCAGCATTGACATGATGGGCTGAATAGCTTCTCCAAGTTCTGTGTGATCTCACAATACTTTCAGATTGTTGCCATTATTCTGTCATATTGGTGTCCATTTTATCTGCATTCTCCTAATTCACTTTTAAGTTTGGTGTGAATTTTGAAATCTTCTTCAGTGGAGTTTTGTTTTGGATCATATTTTATATCTTCTTCATAATTGAGAAACTTCAATTAGCTAATCTCAGTGTTCTTCCTGGTTCAAACATGAGCAAGCTCCAATTTATCAACCTTTCATCAGCCTAAATTCAGATTCAAATGGAGATTTCAGATGGAGTTGGCTTTGGGTTTGGAGTGCAGGTAGTATCACATTCAGACTTTGGTTCCAACCAGGTTCTAGATTGGGAGTTTGGTTTGGAGACTTGAATCCAAACATTATGTAATTTCACAGATTGAGAAAGAAAATATAAAGAAACAATAAATCTAGAATAACTCTATTATTCCTACAGGTATCTGCAATTTCTCTACACATCTGTTCCTCTAGTACCTGCTGGTATTTGGGGGGCCTATAATACAGCCCCAACAGAGTGACCATCCCCTTCTTGTTTCTAAGCTCTAACCGTATGGCTTCATTTGATGACCTCTTAAGAATATCCTCGCTAAGCACTGTTGTTACGTCCTCCCTTATCAAAAGGGCAACTCACCCTCCTCACTTACTTGTACTTCTGTCACGTCTGTAGATTCTGAATCGTGCAACATTGAGCTGCTAGTCCTGCCCTTCTCTCAGCCATGTTTCTGTTATGGCTACAAAATTCCAGTCTCCAGAGTCAATCCATGCTCTGAGCTTTTCTGCCTCAACAATCAGGCCTTGTGCATTGAAATAAATGCACTTTAAACCAGAAGTCTTTTCCCTCTCTTTACTGTGCCCCTGGCTATCTTGAATTGTAAACTTTCTCTCAATGGCTTATGTATTTTCCCCAGACTTCTCGATGGCCCCTCTCTTTTTCAGAGTCTCACCCACCTGTCAAACTAGTTTAAACTCTTCCAGGTAACACTAGCCAATCTCCCCACAAGGCTATTTGACCCCCTCTGGTTCAAAGCTTTTAGAGTTTTTCAACGAGGTAACCAAGAAAATAGATGAGGGTAGGGCAGTGGATGTTGTCCAAATGGACGTCAGTAAGGCATTTGACAAGGTCCCGCACGGCAGGCCAGTCATGAAGCTTAGGTTACATGGGATCCAGGGATAGCTAGTTAATTGGATTCAAAATTAGCTCGATGGTAGGAAGCAGAGGGTGATGGTTGAAGGTTGTTTTTCGAACTGGAGGCCTGTGACTAGTGGAGTGCCATAGGGGTCAGTGCTAGGACCTTTGTTATTCGTTATTTACATAAATGATCTGGATATGAATGTACTGGCATGATTAGTAAGTTTGCAGATGATACAAAATTATCGCTGATAGCGAGGAAGGTTATCAAAAATTACAGAGGGATCTTGATCAGATGGGGAAGTGGGCTGAGGATTGGCAAATGCAATTCAATACAGATAAGTGTGAGATGTTGCACTTTGGAAAGTCAAACCAAGGTAGGACTTATACAGTAAATGGTAAGGTCCTGAGGAGTGTTGTGGAACAGAGGGACCTAGGAGTACAAGTACATAGTTCATTGAAAGTGGCGTCACAGGTGGACAGGGTGGTAAAGAAGGCATTTAGCATGCTGGTCTTCATCGGTTGAGGCAATAAGTATAGGAGTTGGGACATTGTGTTACAATTGTATAAGTCGTTGGTAACGCCACACTTAGAGTATTGGGTACAGTTTTGGTCACCCTGTTATGAGAAAGACATAGTTAAACTGGAAAGTGCACAACGAAGATTTACAAGGATATTGCCAGGACTAGTAGGCCTGAGTTATAGGGAAAAGTTAGCCAGGGTAGGACTTTATTCCTTGGAACATAGGAGAATGAGGGTGACCTTATTGAGGTGTATAAAATGAGGGGCATAAATTAGGATCCTTTATTCATTAGCAGGATGAGGGCGTCACTGGCTGGGCAGCATTTATTGCCCATCGGGCATTTGAGAGTTAACCACATTGCTGTGGGTCTGGAGTCACATGTGGGCCAGACCAGGTAAGGATGATAGTTTCCTTCCCTAAAGGGCATTAGTGACTCAAATGGGTTTTTCCCCAAAAATCAACAATGGATTCAATGTCCTCATTAGAATCTTGATCCCAGATATTTTATTGAATTCAAATTCCACCATCTGCCGTGGCAGGATTTGAACCTAAGTCCCGCAGAATGTTATCTAGGTCTCTGGATTAACAGCCCAGCACCTCCCCATATAAATACAAATAGTCTTTTTTCCAGGGATGGGGAATTGAAAACTAGAGGACATAGGTTTAAGGTGAGAGGGAAAAGAATTAAGAAGGACCTGAGGATCAACTTCACGCAGAGTGGTGCATGTATGAAATGGGCTGCCAGAGAAAGTGGTTGAAGTGTGTACAATAGCAACACTTAAAAAACATTTGGATAGGTACATGGATGAGAAAGGTTTAGAGGAATATGGACCAAATGTGGGCAGTTGGAACTAGCCGAGTGTGCACCATTGCCAGCATGGACCAGTTTGGGCCGAAGGGCCTTTTTCCATGCTGTATTACTCTGTGACTCTAACCATGGTTCTATAATACAGTGCATCCATCACTGTCGTAAAATGCCACAATTATCACATTACTCTATGACTCTATTAGCACCTTGCAACTTCTCTCTTTTTATGACCTACCTGACATCTTCTCCCTCCTCCAGCATACATAAACAAATTGTACACTTCTCGTCAAAGTCTGTTTCCTCTTCATCCTCTTTTGGCTCCTTGAGGTTCTGTTGCATTCTCTGCAGACAAAATAATAATAGATAGAGCCAGAGCTTCATTGATACAATGGAGTAAATTGCTATTTCTCTGAAATATAATGAGGAATATTTTGCCATTTTTAAATTAATTTCTACTTCATGCCTTTTATCTTTGGTGTCCTGATTCAATTCCAACATGGCTGATAAGATAGAATAACTCCCCACCATGGAACAGTATCTGCAATATAATCATGATCAAATTGCTAATACAGTTAAAACAAAAATGATACTGACTGCACAAACAGAAATTGCTGGAGGAGCTCAGCAGGTCAGGGAGCATCTGTGGAGAGAAAACAGAGTTAATGTTTTGGGTCCAGTGACACTTCTTCAGAACTGATTGTACCACAATCTGAGTTTTTCCAGCAATTTCTGTTTGGGTTTCTGATTTCCAGCAACCCCAGTTCTTTGGTTTTTATGATACTGACTGTGTTCGAGTGCCTGATAGAAGTATCTGAAACACGTAAATTGAGGACACTCTGTAGCAATCAAATTCTCTAAAAGCAAATCACAAATTGACCAGGTTCAGAGGGATATTTATACTATCCATTTGTATGTTTTCCAAGATGACAAATGTCTGGAAAGCAAAGAAATGCCTGATGGTCATCAATGTGGTATTTTTCCAGATGACCGTTGCTGACATCTAGTGGTATTTGCCAGGATATGGTACTGGGTAACATTTGTTTGAGATAGTTTGCTGTCACCAATCCTCCTTTGTCTGTGTTTTGTTAAGGCCTATCTAGATAATAGAGGCTATACCATTATACAGCTTGACACTATCCAGGACAAAGCAGCCCTCTTGATTGGCACTACATCAACAAGCATCCACTCCCTCCACCACGGACACTCAGTAGCAGCAGTGTGTACTATCTACAAGATGCACTGCAGAAATTCACCAAAGATCCTCAGACAGCACCTTCCAAACCCACGACCACTTCCATCTAGAAGGACAAGGGTAGCAGATATATGGGAACACCACCACCTTCAAGTTCCCCTCCAAGTCATTCACCATCCTGACTTGGAAATGTATCACCATTCCTTTGCTGTCGCTGGGTCAAAATCCTGGAATTCTCTCCCTAATGGCATTGTGGGTCAACCCCCAGCAGGTGGACTGCAGCGGTTCAAGAAGGCAGCTCACCACCACCTTCTCAAGGACAACGAGGGACAGACAAGAAATGCTGGCCAGCCAGCAATGCCCACATCCCACAAGTGAATAGAAAAAAAGTATCTACAGGATACTTAGATTTAAAGCTCTTAGATTTAAAGAAGGTTTATTGCATGAACTTAACTTTTAACTTTTCTAAGCTTCCATCGACTTCTATTGAAGATACCTGGATCTACACCTGAAGGGGTGTAACATGTAAGGCTATGGGCCAGCTGCTGGAAATTGGGATTCAAATGGGCAGCTAGTTTTATATCGTTTATTGACTTCGCACACACTAACGGTTGAATGGTTTCTTTCTGCAGTGTAACTTTTCTACAGATCTAGTATTTTAATGATAGCAATTAGTACAATTATACCTGATAAACATAATTAAGACTTTAAGGAGCTGGTCCAAATACATCTGCTGCCTCCAAAGGGGAGAATAGAACTCCTTGTCTCTACCATAGACTGTAGAATATCACTCACTGACATCAGTAGAATGAGTGCAGCCAATGAAACATGAACAGTAACCCTTCCGACTCAATTTTATGCAACAATCTACAAATAGATAGATGGTCTGAGAAGTGGTGAGTAATATTCACACTTCAAAAGTGCCAGACAATGACCATCTCCAACAAGAAATAATCTAGCCATTGCCCTTCACATTCAATGACATTATCACCATTGAATTACCCACTGCTAATATTTTGGCAATTGACCAGAAACTGAGCTGGACTAGCCATATAAATACTGTGGCTACAAGATTGTGTCAGGGACTCAGAATCTTGCGGTGAGTAACTCACCTCCTGACCCTTCAAATCCCATTCACCATCTACAAGACACAAGTCAGGAGAGTGATGGAATACTCCCCACTTGCCTGGATTGGGGCAGCTCCAACAACAGTCAAGAAGCTTGACGCCATCCAGGAAAAAGTAGACCACTTGATTGGTACCACCTTCAATGTTGACCCCCTTCACATGGATGCATAGTAGCAATAGTGTGTACCATCCACAAGAAGCCCTGCAGAAATTCACCAAGGCTTCTCCATCAATACCTGCCAAACCTTCAACCTCTACCAAGTCCCAAGATTCTATCCAATGTGCTTCTTTAGGACAGGAGGCACAATGAATAATTATTGTGCATTTGAAAAGCTGTGAAGCATTTTAAGATTTCAAAATCGAGGTTCCAATTTAACAGGACATTGATTTGTATACATTGGCCTATTTGCCATACTTTAGAATGGCAGCTATATAATGACAGACTCCACCCAAACACCTTTTATTCAATCTAATTCCAACATCATGGCTCACATTCATCCCACCCATTTTGAATGCTTTATCCTTTTAGCAACTATCTACTAAACATTTTTCATTCCCTATGAAGCCCTCAGAACTGCTAATTTCCTATCTGTTTCTGAAGTCTCCTTATACCTTCATCCTGTCCTCATCCTTTGTTCCTTTCTAAGGTTCTTCCATCTCTCAGACATTTCTTCCATTTCTCATCCAGGCTGCTACTTAGTTCCTTTCTCATTTTCTTTCACACTCATACCCCTACCCCATTCATATTGGCTCCATCACTCTATCCTTCTACTTGATCCCTCACCTCATCATTCGCATTCCTTCACCCAATCCAGTAACAAGCACACCCTTACTGCTTGTCTTTCAATTTTCCACATGTGTCTCCTGTGATCATAAATGAAGGTAGTGCAACAAAACATTAAATGACTCAAGCAGCTATTTGTAAGATCCGTTCTTACCTTCTTGTATTTGTGTGGGAAGGTGCACCTCTCGATCACATTCTGCACGGCTCCACGGTTCACAGTGCCAAGTCTGTCCTCTAGTTGTAACAGTTCCTGAAACCAGCAAGATGCAATATATTATGACATTAACATATTCACAAAGGTTTGAGACTGCCTTGAAATGATAGGTTTGCATAAGGCCTGGCATCAGTGTGGCTTTCACGCCATGTCAATCTGCCATTGTGGATTCAGGGCCAAAAAGATGCCTAGAATAGCAATAATTTTTTGTTTCTCTATGAGTTAAAATCTAGGACTGTTCCAGGACTGTCAGTCACTTATGTGGAACCTGGGGGTGCTTGATGTGAGCAGACACTCATTTTTAAATTTCAATTTTTTTTTACAATTTTAGTAACCTCTTTCATTCTTTAAAGCAAGAGTAAACATCTTGGTCAGGCCAAGAAGTAATATAACTCTTAATATCTTAATGGATTTTTAAAACTACTTTCCATTTACCTGGAAGATAGTTGAGGCAGTCTTACCTAATCACACATCACACCAGGCCAGTAGTTTATTCAGAGTGACAGCAACTTAGAAATTATCATGTTCATGGAGCACTTTTTAAAGAATTTGTTTTAACTAATTTATTCACAGGATGATAGTATGATAGGTTAAGCCAGCATTTATTGCCCATCCCTAATTGCCTAGAGGGCAGTTCAGAGTCAACCACATTGCTGTGGGTCTGGAGTCACATGTAGGCCAGACCAGGTAAGGATGGCAGTTTCCTTCCCTAAAGGACATTGGTGGACCAGGTGGGTTTTTCCTGACAATCAACAATGGATTCATGATCATCATTGGACTGTTAATTACAGATTTTTTCTGAATTCAAATTTCACCATCTGCAATGGCAGGATTTGAACTCAGAAAATTACCTGGGCCTCTGGATTAATAGCCTAGTAACAATACCACTAGGTTATTGCCTCCCCATCAGTTTGATTATCTGTGTCTATACATTTCAAAGCTATACATATCCAGGGTGATACATGTGACCATAATACCATAAAATATAGAAGGACAATCAGGCCATTCGGGCCATCGAGTTTGCACCACTGTTCGATCATGGCTGACATATTTCTCAACCTCATTCTCTTGCCTTTACCGTGTAACCCTTGATCCACTTATTAATTAAGAACCTGTCTCTGTCATAATAACACTCAATGACTTGGCCTCCACAGCCTTCTGCAAAAATAAGTTCCACAGATTCACCACCGCCTGGCTGTAAAAATTCTTCGTCATTTCAGTTCTAAAGGGTCATCCCATCACTCTGAGGCTGTGCCCTCTGATCCTAGTCTCTCCTACCAGTGGGAAAATCTTCTCCATGTCCACTCTATCTGGGTCTCTATCCAGGCAATCCTCTTTTCATGCCAGTACCTTGCCCCTAACACCATAGGCTCTTATCTTATTGACCAGACATCTTAAGGGCATCTTATCAAAGGCCTTCTGGAAAACCGAATAGATCAAGTCCACTGGTTCTCCTTTATCTAACTTGCTCATTACCTCCTCAAAGAATTCTAACAGATCTGTCCCTTTGATAAAGCCATGCTTATAGCCCTAGTATACCATGCACTTCCAAGTATTCCACTATCTCATCCTTAATAATGGTCTCTAAAATCTTACCAGCTACTGAGGCCAGCCTAACTAGCCCATAATTTCAAGTCATCTGCCTCACTCCCTGGTTAAATAAGGTGTTACATTAGCCATTTTCCAGTTCTCTGCAAGCCTGAAAAATTACCACTAATGCCCCTCTAATCTCCTCAGCTATCTCCATTAAACCCTAGGGTGCAGTCCATCTGGTTCAGACGATTTATCCACCATCAGACTTATCAGTTTCCCCAGCACCTTCCCCTTAGTGATGACGACCATGTGCACCTCTGCCCAGACTCTCTTGAAGTTCTGGTATGCTCCTGGTGTCTTCCATTATGAAAACTGATACAAGGTACCAATTCAGTTCCTCCACCATTTCTTTGTTCCCCAATACCACCTCTCCTGCTTCATTTTCCAGCAGTGTAATGTCCACTCATTCCGATCTCTTACCTTTTACATTTCTAAAAAAAAACTCTTGCAATCTTCTTTATGTTACTAGCTAGCTTACCTCATGTTTCATCTTCTCCCCACCTTTATTACTTTTTCCTTGTCTTCTGCTGGTTTTTTACAGGCTTCCCAATCTTCTGATTTCCCACTAATCTTTACCACATTGTATTCTTTTTCTTTTGCTTTTATGCCGTCCCTGACTTCCCTAGTCAGTCCTGGTTGCCTCATCCTCCCTTTCGTATGTCTGTTCTTTCTTAGGATGAATTTCTGCTGTGCCTCCAAAATTACCCCCAGAAACTCCTGCCATTGCTGCTCCCCATCTTCCCTGCTAGGCTCCCTTTCCAACCAATTCTGGCCAGCTTCTCCCTCAGATCTTTGAAGTTACCTTTACTCAGTTGTATAATTGTTACAAATGAATCAATCTTTCCCTCTCAAACTGCAAGGTGAATTCTATTGTGTTATGGTCACTGGCCCCCGAGGAGTTCCTTCAGCTTTGGGTCCCTAATCAAGTCTGTCTCATTATACATCACCAAGTCCAGAATTGCCTGTTCCCTAGTGAGCTCTAGACATTCCATGAATTTCTTTTCTTGGGATCCACTACCATATTTAGAGCTTTACATAACCATGGCTGTCAACAGTGAAAAATTTAGTCTGAAAACAATAAATGCTAGAGATCACAGCAGGTCAGACAGCATCCATGGAGATAGAGCAAGCTAACATTTTGAGTCTAGATCCCTCTTCATCAGAGTTGAAGTGACATGCGGAGGGGACAGCATTTATGCTATAGTTTGCGTGTGGGAGTTTGTGGGGGGGGTGTTGGCTAGTGGGTATAGGGTGCTGGAGAAGAAAAGATGTTGATAGTACAGATTAAGTGATCAGAATAGCAGAACGTGGTGTGTCTCCTGCCAGACTTGAAAGGGCAGTAAAAAGGATGGGGTGAGGGGAGGATATGATAACAGGCCAAAAAAAAGAGAAGAAATGCTTCACAATTTAAAGGTGTTGAACTCAATATTGAGTTCAGAAGGCTGTAAACTGCTTAGTCTGAAGATGAGATGTTTTTCCTCCAGTTTGCGCTGTGAGTCAATGGAACACTGCAGCATGCTGAGGACAGACACATGGGCACGCAAGCAGGATGTTGTGTTAAAATGACCAGCTACAGGAAGGTCGGGGTCCTGATGGCACACAGAGCGGAGGTGTTCTGCAAAACTGTCACCCAGCCTGTGTTTGGTTTCTCCACTGTAGAGTAGGCCACATTGGGTGCAGTGAATACAATACACAAGATTGGAGAAGGTACAGGTGAAATTCTGCTTCACCTGGAAAGACTGTTTAGGCCTTTGGAAAGTAAGCAGGGAGGAGGTGAAGGGGCAGGTGTGGTTTTGGTTTTACACACTGATTTTGATTTTACACCCTGAATTTTTCTAATTCTATCAAGATGTTAACCTCCTGTTGGTCCATTGTATTTTCTCCTTCATAACTTCTTCATAAACAATTTGTTCTTTCTGTTTTCATTAAAGGATGGACCTCTCGTACTTGGTACAAAAACAGAAATTGCTGCTGAAACTCAGTAGCTCTGGCAGCATCTGTGGGAGGAAAGCAGGGTTAACATTTCGAGTCCAGTGACTCTTCATCAAAACCCAGCACCACACTCAAAATATTAACTCTGCTTTCTTCCTACAGATGCTGCCAGACCTGCTGAGTTTCACCAGCAATTTCTGTTTGTGTTTCAGATGTCCATTATTAGCAGTTCTTTGTTTCATTTTACTCTTCCATTTGGTGTTTCAGTGGTTGTTTGGTCTCCTCTATTTTCTTTGATCAGGACATATGCCGACCCTGGAATAAATGAAGTTGATCACTGACACATTGATGTGATCTGAATTTTGAACTCCAATCCTTCATTGCATGCAGTTTGTGATCTTGTTCTTGCTTTGTTCTTCACACCCCAACAATGTCACTGGCAATACAGAATTATTCTGGTACAGTGACGTAATGAGGTCCATGTGACCTTGAAAGAACATATAGCCCAAATGGCAATCAATGAAAACAGTGTCATCGAAATGGGCTACTGAGTAGTGAGCTCTTGGGACTTCTCCTCAAGATGTTTTGACTCGTCACCATGCTTGGCATCAAATGTCAGGAGGCACTTCGCACCTGCAAATCTCAGATTTAGCTTCTTCTAAAGTGGGTATTTTGTGAGGGTGCCATTTCAAAGCTGTGTTTAGGCGTTGGGATTTGATATGTACTTTCAGAGATCCATTCTTCTTTTTATGTATATTATTGAGCTACACCAGTCTGTGTACTCCTGTACTCTTTTGATGAATTCATCTTGCTCGTATTTAGCTCGTTCCTCAAATTGTCTTTGAAGTGGAACCTGCATTTATATGGTGAGTCCATGGATAGGTTTGCATTCTTCAAATACCATGTTGCAGCTTCCTTGAAACTGCCTATTTCATCAAAACACTCAAAACATTTTGATGCTAAGTCATGAATCGAAATGATAGGTGATATTTCTGAGCTTGATCTGTTGTCTGATGCCCAACTGATTCCACAGATTGTGACAGCGTTAAGTCAGGGCATTGCAGGGAGCTCTGGAAATTATTGATCCAGCAGTGTCCAGGCAGATTGATCATATATGCCTTCCAACAATATAGATGGTGTATGTGGAATTGGAAAACCATTACATGCTGGAGGTTTTATCTTCATTGGTTTCACCATGTATTCCTATTTCTGCAGACATTGGCCAAATCTTTGGGGCTGCAAGGTGCAATGTATCAAAGGCTACCACGGAGTTCCAATCAAGTTCTAACAGCTAGGAGGCCCTCATAAACTGTTTGGTTATTCTTTTAAGAGACGGCGAGGCCTAACTATCTGTTCTTGTACACCAACCCTGTGGATGAAATATGTTTTCCTCCTGCCATTCCCACAAGTCCCTTAATACCCCACCATTCTCTACTCCTTCTACAGGCATTTTCCTCCCCTTCAGACCTCCCCCACCATGTCTCACCCAAGCCAGAAACATCTTACCTCCCACCCACTGACATGCCCCACCAACATGCATCTCCTCCGTCATTAGGCATCTCCCCTGCCCATCACCCCCCACAACAGGCATTTGCTCCTCTCCACAGACATATTTTTGTGCCCAGAGACATTTCCATCCCCTTCCCCAACAGTCATCTCCTTCCCCACATACAGTCATTCTCTTCCCCCACAGAAGGTTGTACCCATTCACATTCACAGGCATTTCCTCCCCTTGCTCTCTCAACCAACTTCCTTCCCCACCCACTTTCACAGTTGTGGGATATCAGCAACTTTCAAGCAGCAAAACGGGGCCACAATTGTAAAACTTTTGTGGAGCACTGCATTAAGCAAACCATAATGGCTTACTTTTCTACATCAAATGCACCTGAATCTTGAAACCACAGTTCTGAAAACTGGCTAATTGTTTTAAATTCTGTTAGGAGGTCTGCTGTGTCCCAATTAAAACTAGGGAACTTTATGGCCATTTTGATGAAATACCTTAAATCTAACCTTGCTTGCTATTGATCTAGGGCACTCCCTGATTACTTACCTTTCTCAAGTGAGTTAAACTGACATTCTGATAGGAATTTGTCTGCTTGCCAGTTTGCTGTGTTTTCAACACTCTTTGATAATGTAAACAATGATATCGAAAGTTGTCTCAAGCATTTTAGCACAATTTAAGACTGTTGACCATGTAAAAACTGAAATAACTGTGGATGCTGTAAATCAGGAACAAAAACAAAGTTGCTGGAAAAGCTCAGCAGGTCTGGCAGCATCTGTGAAGAAAAAAACAGAGTTAACATTTCGGGTCTGATGACCCTTCCTCAGAACTGTTGACCATATGTTTGACCTGTAGATTAACTTGCTTGCTGACTGGTTAAGCACAATAGGTCTCAGCAACATGATGCTTTCCAAAGATTTTCACTATTTCATATTAAACATAATGATCTACTCATCAATCACTCAACAAGGATTCAGAGTGTTATATTGTTTAAAACATTAAAACACATAATAAAGTTATACAGTAGACATTACAGTAAAGAAACTGATTTCTGTTTGAGAAATTTCAAACCCATTGCAGACCAACTGGCAGGCAGAGTCACAATATTGTATTCACACTGTATACTCCTTAAAGCTTAAGTTTCTTAAAGACAAGGTATGCATACCAGGAAGGGAAATCTTGTGCAAACCTAAGTTGGTCATATATGATGTAAAATTTCAAAGGCAACAAATAAGCAAACTTGCGAGTATCCTTGAACATAACATGACGCACCTCATAACTTTCCCTAACGGCAGGGCTCTGCCGACCCCCATTTAACCCTTGGAGAGCCAGTAGATGAAGATGCGGATAAGGGTAATTCCTCAAGTCAGGAATAATCTGGAAAACACAGATTTTTATTATTGAGGATGAATAAATAACCATCTACTGAGCTTTAGAGATCAGAAAGGTCCCATATTTAATTTGTGATCTGAACTGAGGTAACTATTCTCAGCACAGGCAGTCGTTAGAGAATTTTATCTTATTTGCCAAATTTCACACCCACTCCTATCTCCACCAATTGGCAACTACTTGCAGAGTGTATGATTCCTTAGTCCAGTCTTCAGCTGTGATATTTTTACCAAAGGCAGAGGTGGGTAGGTATTGCAGCTGAGCTCAATCCTGTCCACAAGTTGACAAACACACATTTCTAGCAAGGTCCAAAATAGCAACAGGAAACCTGACTCAATCATTCTCTCCAACTGTGGATTTCCAAACAAAGGGTATTTTTCTTTATTCCTTTTCGTGGGAAATAGGCATCACTGGCAAGTGAGCATTTATTGCCTAAACCTAGTTACCTTTGAACTAAAGTTGAATCAGAGATAGTAGGAACTGCAGATGCTGGAGAATCCGAGACAACAAGTTGCAGAGCTGGATGAACACAGCAGGCCGAGCAGCATCATAGGAGCAGAAAGGCTGACGTTTCGGGCCTAGACCCTTCATCAGAAAAGGGGGAGGGGAAGGGGGTTCTGAAATAAATAGGGAGAGAGTGGGAGGCGGATAGAAGATGGATAGAGGAGAGGATAGGTGGAGAGGAAACAAACAGGTCGAAGAGGCGGGGATGGGGCCACTAAAGGTGAGTGTAGGTGGGGAGTTAGGGAGGGGATAGGTCAGTCCAGGGAGGATGGACAGGTCAAGGGGGCGGGATGAAGTTAGTCGGTAGGAGATGGGGGTGCGGCTTGAGGTGGGAGGAGGGGATAGGTGGGAGGAAGAACAGGTTAGGGAGGCGGGGACGAGCTGGACTGGTTTTGGGACACGGTAGGGGGAGGGGAGATTTTGAAGCTTGTGAAATCCACATTGATACCATTGGGCTGCAGGGTTCCCAAGCAGAATATGAGGTGCTGTTCCTGCAACCTTCGGATGGCATCGTTGTGGCACTGCAGGAGGCCCAGGATGGACATGTCGTCCGAGGAATGGGAGGGGGAGTTGAAATGGTTCGCGACTGGGAGGTGCAGTTGTTTATTGCGAACCGAGCGTAGGTGTTCTGCAAAGCGGTCCCCGAGCCTCCGCTTGGTTTCCCCAATGTAGAGGAAGCCACAACGGGTACAGCGGATGCAGTATACCACATTGGCAGATGTGCAGGTGAATATCTGCTTGATGTGGAAAGTCTTCTTGGGGCCTGGGATGGGGGTGAGGGAGGAGGTATGGGGGCAGGTGTAGCACTTCCGGCGGTTGCAGGGAAAAGTGCCGGGTGTGAGTTGCATGCTAGGCCATATCAGAGCACAATTAAGTGTCAGTCACTTTGCTGTGGGTCAAGTGTCATATGCAAGCTAAACTAAATAAAGGCCGCAGATTTTTCCAGCAATCAATGATAGTTTCGTGGTCACCATTACTGAGATTAGCTGTCAGTTCTAGGTTTTATGAATTTCATTAACCATAGTAGAATTTGAACCTGTGTCCCCAGAATATTAGCCTGGATTTTCCTCATCATGCAACATGTTCAATATACCACTGTCAGCATCTCCCCTTTACATAACCTCCTAATGCCAAATTACCCAAGACAGTCAGACTCAACCTGGATTAGAAACTAAACATGTGACCTGTAGATCTTATAGACTGGCGCTACCAAATTGTTAAGGCATCGGGGAGCTGCAAAAGTTGAAATGACACTGTTTTATTGTAAATCCATGTTTACTATTTGCTTGCAGCTTCATGATAAGCCACATGGCACTGCATTGAAATATGTTGCCATGATGTAAGGGGAATGCACCTACTGACTTTTCTCCTGACGGGCATACAACAAGCCTCAGGGCCCTTGTGTGCAGTGGTACTGCCCCCTACTTCCAGGCCAGGAGGCCTGGGTTCAAGTCCCACCTGCTCCAGAGGTATTTAATAAAATTTCTGAATAGGTTGATGAGGAAAATATCTGTGACAGCAATAATGGAAGAGTAGCCAACATTGAGCATAAGCCAGAACAGAGCAAAGTACATCCTTACCACAGATGCCGAAGACATACTTCGAGAGAAATGATGTATCCTGGTTGTTGCTAGGTAATGATGTAAACGATGTACATGGAGGGCCTGGTACTGAGTATGGGGCAAACCAGCCTCTACACTGATATCCCTTCAAAAATAACAAATAGGCATCAAGAGAAAATCAGTAACTGCAAAGATGTAAATATTGTGTTTTTTAAGATTTTGTCAATTCTGAAGCTAACTCTTGGCTAGGAAAACATCAGGATGTAAACTTCCTGCTGTGAATACATCATCTACGCTGAACCATAAAGAATATAAACATGGATATCAAACAATTAGCATTTGTGTATGAATGGTGCAAGTTCCATTCATCAGCCTTCACAAAATTTTATCTTGGATCAGAGGACAGAAAAGCACAAGATCTACTAATGCCTCCAGTCTCGCCTAGTCGTCATCAAATCAGTATGGCCTGTGAAACATCCCTGGGACTTACCAGTCAGTGCCTTCAGTCAGGTACCTGGGCTGTGTTCCCACTGCTGAACCAGGATGGAGGTGGTTACTGAAATCAAAACCTGCTCGGAGACGGTGGGGGTAAGGAGGAGCCCTTTCCTGTGTCCGTCTACAAAGTAACAGAACAACACTAGAGGAAGCTACATCAAGGGCAGACAAGAATCATTCAGGCAAATCTAACTCCATTTTCTATTAGCTCAACCCATTGACATCTACCCAAAAATGAATCATATCAAAAAAATATTCAAGTGCCTATAAGGGGTTGAGTGGCATTAGACATTTAGAAAACCTAATCTTTTATTTCTGGAACTTCGGTTAGATGAACACCCAAACTAATGAATATAATTCTTTTCTCTGAAACTTCTGTGCCTAAACAGTATTTGAGCAGTTTTAACCCAGATTCTAATCAACACAGAAAGATTCAACACTAGAATTCAACACTGGCCAATACTTACGCAGTCAACAGACTGATCCTTGAGATGACAGGTTTATCCAACAAGGAAAGATTAGGTTGTCTGGGCCTTTATTTACAGGAATTTAGAATGATGAGAGGGAATCTCATTGAACTGTGTAAAGTTCTGACAGGCTGGACAGATCAGATGCAGGGATGATATTTTCCCTGGCCTGGAGTGGGTCTACAACAAGAGGCCACACTCTTACAATAGGCAGTAGGACATTTAGGACAGAGATGAGGAGAATTTTTCTCTCAGAAGGTGATGAATCTGTGGAATTCTCTACCACAAAGGGCTGTGGAGGCCAAGTTGCTAAATATATTTAAGAAAGAAATGAATAGAATTCTCGAGACTGAAAGTGTCAAAGAGTATGGGGAGAGAACAGGAATATGGCATTGAGATAGAGAATCAACCATGATCATACCGAATAGCTGAACAGGTTTGATGGGTTGAATGGACTACTTCTGTTCCTATTTTCTATGTTTCCATTTTTTCTCAATATAATATCAGTTGTGAGTTAAATATGGTTCTTGGAAACAATGCTTTAAGATTTATTGAGAGCATGTAGTTTGGAGAATTTATTCTGCATTCTATCTGTGAACGTGGTCTAGGAATTCTGAATCTGACACTGAATGAAGGGATGTACAATGTTGAAGTGTTCCATTTTCTCACAGGCAGGCATAAGACTCACTAAATAATCAATAGGAAAACATTAAAGACTCAAATTACTCAATTGACTGTGACCAGTATGATTGAAGAGTCAAAAGAGTGTTTCTGTTGATGCTTTATAAAATCAAAAAATCTAAATTTGCACTGTGGAAGACTAAATTTGTTCATCTAAAATTCCATTCCATGCCATTTTATTTTCATGGATTAAAATTATACTTTTGAGGAGCATTTTGGGCATGGCCCATTATTAATAAATGGATGCCAACATCCAAGGAATAAATAAATCAAAAAATACTCAGTTTGCTAAGCTTACAATTTCTGGTGTTTTTCAATATAATTTAAAATTAAATTCCATTGCATTTTCACCTTTTCAAAATTCTACAGGTTGACCATCCTCTCAGTGAAGAAATGTTGCCCCATCTCAGTCCTGAATAGCCTATTCTGTATCCTGAGACTGTGACTCCTTGTTCCAAACTTCCCAACCAGGGGAAACATCCTCTCTGCATCCAATCTGTCCAGCCCCATTAGAATTTTATATGTTTCAATCAGATCCCTTCTCATTCTTCTAAACTCTAGTGAATATAGGCCCAGTTGAACCAATCTTTCTCGAAACAAACCTGCCATCCCAGTATCAGCCTAGTGGACCTCCACTGCATTCCCCCTATGACAAATATAGCCTTTCTTAGGCAGGGATACCAAAACTGTACACAATACTCCAGGTATAGTCTGCATATTTGCAGTAAGATATCCCTACTTCTGAGCTTAAATCCTCTTGCAATGAAGACAATACCATTTGCCTTCCTAATTACTTGCTGCACCTGCTAGTCTACTTTCACTGACTGATACAAGGATACCCAGATCCCTTTGCACATCCACATTTCCCAATATACCGCCATTTAAATAATGTACTATTTCTGTTTTTCACACCATTTCACACCACTTATTGGCCTCAGAAGAGCAGTTTCTCTTGCATTGTGCAATTATTTTATATCATTTTCCACATTTTGGTAGTTTGTCTCAATTAAACACAGAATTCTTTGTAATTGGTAATATGGTCCCCTGACTAATGGCTTCGATCTCAATCTCAGCTATTGTTTAATTCTCCCACCCTGAATAACAAAGATATTGAAAATGAGCCTAACATTTCCCATAGGTGCTGACTGCCCTGTAAAAATGCAGTCAAGCTCACCAATAGAATAAACTTAAAGATGTAGTAGCTTAATGCACAAAGCATTCAAAATAAGGTAGACAAACAAATTGAGGTAAATGAATGTGATCTCATAGCCATTACAGAAGCATGGTTACAAGGACATCAAAACGGGGGGCTTAACTTTGATGAATATTTGACCTTGCGGAGCAACAGAAGGGATAGAAAAGATAGTGCGGTAGCACTGATAATAAAAAAATGAATTGAGGACGGTTGAGAGATGATTTAGATCAGATAATGTGGGGAGATAAAAAACAGCAAGGGAAAGAAGACATTGGCAGGAGTACAGAGCACCAAACAGCAGCCATTCTGTGGGAAAGGCTACATATCAACATAGAAACATAGAAGATAGAAGCAGGAGGAGGCCATTCAGCCCTTTAAGCCTGCTCCACCATTCATCACGATCATGGCTGATCATCCAACTCAATAGCCTAATCCTGCTTTCTCCCCATAACCTTTGATCCCATTCACCCCAAGTGCCTCTTGAATACATTCAAAATTTTGGCATCAACTATTTCCTGTGGTAATGAATTTCACAAGCTCACCGCTCTTTGGGTGAAGAAATGTCTCCTCATCTCCGTCCTAAATCGTCTACCCCAAATCCTCGTACTGTGACCCCTGGTTCTGGACACACCCACCATTGGGAACTTCCTCCCTGCATCTACCCTGTCTAGTCCTGTTAGAATTTTATATGTCTTTGTGAGATCACCCCCTCATTCATCTGAACTCCAGCGAAAATAATCCTAGCCTAATCAATCTCTCCTCATATGTCAGTCCCGCCATCCCCAGAATCAGCCTGGTAAACCTTCACTGCACTCCCCTAAGAGCAAGAGCATTCTTCCTCAGAAAAGGAGACGAAAACTGCAGACAACATTCCAGGTGTGGCCTCACCAAGGCCCTGTATAACTGCAACAACACATCCCTGCTCCTGCACTCGAAACCTCTCGCAATGAAGGCCAACATACCATTTGCCTTCTTTACCGCCTGCTGCACCTGCATGCTTACCTTCAGCAACTGGTGCACAAGGACACCCAGGTCCCACTGCACACTCCCCTCTCCCAATTTATAGCCATTCAGGTAGTAATCTGCCTTCTTGTTTTTGCTTCCTAAGTGAATAACCTCACCTTTATCCAAATTATACTGCATCTGCCATTGATTTGCCAACTCACCCAACCTATCCAGATCATGCTGAAAAAATCTTTGCATCCTCGTCACAGTTCACCCTCCCACCCAACTTAGTATCATATGCAAACTTTGAGATGTTACATAGAACATAGAACAGTACAGCACAGTACAGGACCTTCGGCCCACGATGTTGTACCGAACTTTTACCCTAAACCTAAGGTCTATCTAATCTCCACCGCTACCTTATACTATCATCCATATGCCTATCTAATAGCCACCTAAATGCCCCTAATGAGGCCGACTCTACTACCCTCTCCGGCAATGCATTCCATGCCCCTACTACTCTCTGAGTAAAGAACGTACCTCTGATGTCTCCCCGATATCTACCTCCTTTCACTTTAAAACTATGTCCCCTCGTAAAAGCTACCTCCAACCGAGGAAAAAGTCTCTGGCTGTCTACTCTATCTATACCTCTGATCATTTTGTACACCTCTATCAAGTCACCTCTCATTCTTCGTCGTTCTAAAGAGAAAAGCCGTAACTCTCTCAACCTTTCCTCGTAAGACCTTCCCTCCATTCCAGGCAACATCCTGGTAAATCTGATGAAGGGTCTAGGCCCGAAACGTCAGCCTCTCTGCTCCTATGATGCTGCTTGGCCTGCTGTGTTCATCCAGCCCTGCACCTTGTTGTCTCGGATTCTCCAGCATCTGCAGTTCCTACTATCTCTGATCCTGGTAAATCTCCTCTGCACCTTTTCTAACACTTCCACGTCTTTCCTGTAATGAGGTGACCAGAACTGGACACAATACTCCAGATGTGGCCGAACCAGGCTTTTGTATAGCTGGAGCATAACTTCATGGCTCTTGAACTCAACCCCTCTATTAATGAAAGCTAACACACCATACGCCTTCTTAACAACTCTATCCACCTGGGTGGCAGCTCTCAGGGAACTGTGAACATGAACGCCAAGATCCCTCTGCTCCTCCACACTGCCAAGAATCTTTCCGTTAACCCTGTATTCTGCTTTCAAGTTTGTCTTTCCAAAATGAATCACCTCACACTTTTCAGGGTTAAACTCCATCTGCCACTTCTCAGCCCAGCTCTGCATCCTATCAACGTCCCTTTGTAACCTAGGACAGCCCTCCGCACTGTCCACAACGTGACACACCTTCGTATCATCCGCGAACTTGCTAATCCACCCTTCCACGCCATCATCCAAATCATTTACAAAAATCACAAATAGAAGAGGACCCAGAACAGATCCTTGTGGTACACCACTCGTAACTGAACACCATGTTGAATATTTTCCGTCCACTACCACCTTTTGTCTTCTAAGGGTCAGCCAATTCTGAATCCAATCTGCCACATTTCCCCCTGTCCCATGCCTCCTTACCTTCTGCATGAGCCTACCATGGGGAACCTTATCAAACGCCTTACTTAAATCCATGTATACCACATCCACTGCTCCACCTTCACCCACGTGTTTGGTCACCTCTTCAAAGAATTCAGTAAGGTTTGTGAAGCATGTTCTACCCCTTACAAATCCATGCTGACTATCACGAATCAAACTGTGCCTTTCCAAGTGATCATAAATCCTGTCTCTCAGAGCCCTTTCCAATAATTTGCCCACCACTGACATAAGACTAACTGGCCTGT